AAGCAAGATACAACTCCGTTCTGCTACATTTAAAATAAGAATTTTCTCTAGCATAAGATCATTCCTTCGTGATTTGACTCTAGAAATATTTCACAATCAAAACTCTCTGAAAAATCTGGAAAATTTTTGATACATACAGAGATCATATAATTCAATCCATAAGCAAGGTTTTGTATATGTAATCAAAGATCAAGAAGTCAATAAAAGTTATAAAATATAATTATTCCTATTCAGGTAAAGCAGAACACTGAAACAAATCTTACCTGTTTCTCTGACAAGAAGACAAATTCTAAAAACCAACGCCCTCCTCAGGAAAAACTGCTGCAAGGAACTGAGAAGCTGTCCAGAATGCAGATGTTCATGTAATGTTGGAGGTGGGCGATCAGTGTTTTTGAAGAGAGACAGAGGCCATGCCTTGTATTCTCCCTGTGGAGACTGTATTGGAAAAGTGAATTAGAATGACTGACATTGCAAAACTTCAAACTCATAGTAAGAAAACAGCTTCAAGAGCTCCCATTTAAAATGCTCTTGTCTGGTTGTGCTGTTGGCTTTTTGTTAGCCAGTTGGGGCTGAAAACCAGAATTATCTGTGGAGCTTCCTAAGCTATAATTACTCAGGCCCCATGTCTAGAAAGTGCCTGGATCCAGAGTCCGGCTAAGGCGAGCACAACCTACCATTCTGGGTCAGCCACTTTGGAGCAAGACATACACATCTAACATGTGTGAGTTTACGTATTTGGAGATTTCTCGTTAAGCAGCTGACATTACGGCCCATACACATGGCTAGAGGACTATATGGTTAGAAGAAAAATCAAGAGTCCAATCTTAGGAACTGTCTGACCCACAGGCCTCCCATCCCTCCTCCATCCAACCCTGGGCTACTTACCCATAATCCTGAAATCTAGAATGCATAAGCTGCTGGAAGACTTGTTATACATTTTCCCCTAGATAACAGGGACACAGAGCCTTCAGCTGATGCACACAACTCTACGCTTTATCATATTCAGTTCATTTTATACTTTTCACTTCGGTTCACCCTTGATAGTCTAATCAGAGTGACAGAGCCACTTTAACATTGTGGCTCTTCCTCACCTCAGCACACATTTGATTCTGCTTTAACAATGAAGAACAACCTTTCTAGTTACCTAGCATACATGGTTACCTTGCCAGCAACTTCATTAGAAATTCCTCTAATTTCTACCAGGAACCACATTATAAAATTGCAAGAGCCAAATCTGATGATTACATACATACACACACACACACATACACACACACACACCTTTCTGATGTAAGGGTGTGCATAATTTGGAAGCAGGTAAAAAATAAAGACATATCACACAAAAAGCAGCCATAGCAAATTGTAGACTATTCCTTGGAGTATAAAATGATGGCTGACAAGAACAAAAGGTTTTCTTTCTTTCTGAGCTTCCTGAACCTCCCTACCACACCATTCTAATTCTGCACGCTGCAGATGCAAAGTGGGTAATAGTGAGGCAGGGGGCATATTTTGGGATTAAAGAAGAAGCAATCACTTTCAACCAGTGATCTAGAGTGTCAGTATAACAAAAAATTAATCATACTGATCCCCTTGAGACACTGGCTTTATTGTCTGATGGGGAAAAAAAAATCATGGAGAAACCTAAGACCTTGAACAGAAGGTAACTTATTCTTTAAAATTTAGGTCACTTATAGGCAGAGTATCTTAATTCCCCTGGGAAGAGGGGCAGAGAAAGATTTCAGGTGAAAGCCAGTCTGTTTACTTCTTTGCCCTGCCAAATTTCAAAATAAAATCCTTTTTTGTTGTTGTTTCTGGAAATATTCAGAGCTGACAGGATCAGAGGGTAGGCAGCTGTTTGCCTTTTGTAACTTAAAGTCAAATGTGTCTACAGTTTCTGATTTGCTAACTCTGACAGGGTTTGACAAGCCTGGTGGATACCGCGCACCTGACCAATTTCTCAGGGTGGGCAAATTTATAGATTCTTTTCAGTTAACGTGCCCAAGAAAAAGGGCTTCTGGGAGAAGTCAGCCGGCTCTGCAGGCTGAGAGCACACTAGAGTTGATGAGAATGAAATTGGATGTGCGTGGGGCTAACCACTGGGCTCTGGGAATATTAGATGAAAACTTATAAAGGAATCACATTCAGGTAAAAAAAATGGTTAGTGGGGCAGGTTTAAGGGAGGTCAACTAAATGAGATCTCAGTTATAGGCGAAACAGGGTCTCAACATGTTAGAACCCAGATGAACAACATAAATGAATTCAAGCAGAAGAGAAGTTCAGACTGGTTATTAGTAGAAATGATTTCCTGCCAAAATGTGGAGGCCAACATTATATACTTTGCTTTATGAGATCTCAAAGCCTAACCCAAAAGGCTGTACAATTTTTCTCCAGGTAAACAAGGGAGGTTTGCAGCAAGACTTCTTTTACTAGTCGTGATAAGCTAAGGATTTCTTTTTTCAATAAAAGCTTCATTTTTCTGGAATAAGGGAGTAAATTAGGTTCCCAAATCTCAAGACATATGGATCCCACAACTGGGATACAAACCCCTCCACCCTTGTGCTGAAACTCCAGGTGGGGATAACTCCAGCCATAACCAGTTAGTTTCTCTTTATTAATTCAAGTTTTCCAGGACACTCTAATCCAGGGGAAAATAGGAGTGTGGGAGAGCAACAGCAGGGAGGTAACCTAAAGGGAGATAACCATCCAAAATTGCAATTACTCCCCTCTCCCCTAGAGCCTACCTGCAAGTACTCACTCCCTCTCAACCATTCTCCACCAACATTTCTGAGCAACCCTAGCAGTATCAAATGGGTATTTCGTGGCAGAGAATGGGGCCTCTCAGCTGGCCATGGCATCCTCCATGTTCTCTTTTCCTAATACATGTCACCAGTCCCAGAATCATGTTATTGGAGGCACCACGTCTGCTCCGCTCACCAAGGCAGGGCCACAACTGTCAGTGTCCTCAACACCCAAACAGATGCTGCCCATCCCAGGTGCTGACAATGTGAACCTGCTAACCATGTGGTGTCACAGGAGTGCCATCTGCCAGCCAAGCTGAGACTCTAATGCTATGTGCTGGCACTGTAACAGCTACTGAGTCAATGCAACTGATGTCTGATTTACAGTTCCTTTAGTTTTCATTCAACTTTAATTGGAGCTCTCTTACCCAGAGCTCAGCCAAGGAAGCCACATCCGGGTACAACCTGAATGACATTTGCTGTTATCAAAATCCCTCCTCCTTTATGACACTACTCCACTGTCCTTTGAGCATAGTTTAAGGTTTTTAAAAAAAAAATTTAATGTTTATTTATCTTTGAGAGAAAGAGCGTGAGCAGGGGAGGAGCAGAGAGCAGGGGGAGACACAGAATCTAAAGCATGCTCCAGGCTCTGAGATGTCAGCACAGAGCCCGATGTGGGGACTGAACTCGTGAACCGAGACATCATGACCTGGGCTAAAGTCAGACGCTCAACTGACTGATCCACCCGGGTGCCCCAAGCATAGTTTATGTCTTGATGATCCCTTTCCTTAGACTTCATTCCCTCCAATGGAGTTTCTCCTTCCCTATAGTGAATAAGGTAGACCTGTCCCTACAGTCCTATAAGCATGTCTGAATGTGTGAAATCAAGGCACTGCTGGGTTACCATAATTCATTCATTTATTCATTCAACAAATATTATTTGAGCACCTGCTTACCAGAGACTCCAGTAAATGCTAAGGATGAGATGGTGAAAAAGATCAATATATTCCATGCCTTCATTAAGCTTTCATTGTGCCAGGAAAGATAAAACAATAATAAAATAAATGGGTGTAAATGTTACATAATTGCAAGAGAGCTGACTATGTAAAAACATGAGGAAACTTTTGAATCTATGCTTTTTTTTTTTTTTTTACAAATAGTTTATTGTCAAATTAGTTTCCACATTGAATCTATGCTTTGAAGAAAATCAATTTGCTCAAGTTTATCCTGGAAGTAGGTCAACATAATAAAAGGTTGCAATGATTATGACCTTCTTTAAAAAGTTTTGAAGGAACGTTCAGAACTACCTGGATGTTCTCCAGCACCAGTCCTAGGAAACTGAATTATAGATCCCTCCCTAGATAAAGTTCCATAATTATTTCCTTCTTTGTCTGTGATACAGGGCACTCAGTATAATTGCCCACAGTCAGCAACCATGGATTTTGGAGCACAAATTGCCCACAGAGGTTCTGAATTGTCTTGGAAATAAGATAACAGCATTGTTCCAATTCATTCAGAACCATCTTTGAGGTTGGTCTTGCAGATCACCTGCAGAGTTAATTTGGCCAGTAGCTCTCCTAAATTTCCTGTGTAAAAAAAAAAAAAGCCAAAAGACAGGGGTATCTATATCTGCCTAAGAAGTCACTGCAATTTCCATTTCTATCCACATGATCATCTTTGCTTTTATGTTGGGGTTCTGTGACAGGTAGCCTCTGAGAAATGACAGGCTGAGCGGAGGCTCAGGGAGAACTTTCAGCTGCAAGGCCAGAGATGGGGAGGCAGAAGAGGATCCTCCTCACTCTCTGGCCAGTGAGGTACCAGGAATCTTAATAATATGGAATTTTAAAATTTTTAAACATTTTTATTTATTTTTGTGAGATAGAGACTGAGTATGAGCAAGGGAGGGGCAGAGAGAGAGGCAGACACAATCTGAAGCAGGCTCCAGGTTCTGAGCTGTCAGCACAGAGCCTGACATGGGGTTCGAACCCACAAACCATGAGATCATGACCTGAGCTGAAGTCAGACGCATAACCAACTGAGCCACCCAAGCATCGCAATAATATGGATTTTTAAAGTCAGCGTGGAACACACCTAGTGCTTCGCAGACTGTAACAACTCCAACTGCCCAAGAGGGTGAAACAGAGCACACAGTCCTGGCCATATTAGGACAGAGCAATCCATCATCCCATTGCCCAGGCCCTGGTGAGAGCACAAAAGAATTTGTAACATGCCAACCACTGCCACAGTACAGACAGAGGCAAGATGGTGAAAGACCCAGAACCTTGGCATAGACTTAGTGGTGATGACCACATGGATGACAATGGTGGCAGCCATAAGATTAGAAATGTAGTGGAAGCAGCATTAGCTGTAGTAATGAGCACAAGGGAAATATCAACAGCAGCACCCAGGCCCCAAGCAGCAGAGGTGCAGGCAAACAAAGGAGACACATCACTTCCATAGAATGTGGGTGTATCCTTTCATGATCCATTTTGGGAACAGAAAGTACTAATGGAGAACTAGGCTTCCAGTAATCTGGGGAGGCTTGAGCTGCTTTTGTGACTCTACTGAACCTTGGTGCAGGAAAAACACTTCTTATAGTATACCTGTAAAGGTTAAAACAAGAATATCAGTCTCCAGTGGCAGCAAGGCGTTCTAGGATGGGTTCATAGGAACGAAAACCTCCAATATATATTCCTTGAGCCAAGTAGGCTAACCCTATTTATGCCCTTTATACTTGCACTTCTCATTCCCCATTCATTAGTACTATTAATGGAAGCATGATTTTGTTGTTACAGAACCAACCACCTTGTCCTTCCAAGAGGATTCAATCTTTGAACTGATAGCTCATGTGAATTCCCAGTCTCTGTTCCTGAATCCCTTCTCTTCTCAGCAGTCACCCCAGATGCTTACCCAGCTTGTGCCTTGGATGTTCCTCCTTGCCCCTCTCCTGCCCCCAACATAAGATCCAAATGCTGCCACTGATCCACCCACTGGACAGCATCTGGAGTACACAGCTGATTGTCACTCTAGTCTCCCCAGAATTTATTCCTCAGTTGGATGGATGTCTTCTTTCAATCAAACAGCTTCAATAGCTACTCCATATCTACAGTAATTTCCTCTACTGTTAAGTTCCTAGCAGTTCCTAAAGCACACTAGTGTAAAGCCCTTCCACGAAGATTTATTTTGCCTTATCATGTGAAATGTAGAACTTGCTCCTGGAATTTCAAAGGTGTAGTCAACTTGACCTCTGCCTTCTAAGACTTTATGATCTTTCACAACTACCCATGGAATTTAAACTTTTCATATCACAGGGTGGTTCAGTATCTCAAAGTTATGAGCAATATATTAAATATATTTAATGAATGCATTGGTTTGGAGCCTCTAACCATAAGAAGATAAATTCTACTGATAAAGGTAGACTAGTCAAATATATTAAGGAGAAGTAGAGACAACTTCATGGGTGTGTGGCCTTGCAGTTACAGAGCCTTATAATAAGTTTAACGCCCTATCATTCTTTTCAAATTATTAATAATTTTTGAACAAAGGGCTATGCATTTTTATTTTGCACTGGGCCCCACAAGTAAAGTAGCTGGTACTTCCTGAATGGATCATGATCACCACTCCTACTCCACATAGTCAGTGGAGTCCCAATTCAGCAGAATTGGCAGGAAGCTTCCAAATAGAACTCAAATAAAATCATATAGTTGATTCAAGCAATCAACATCAACCACTGAATTATCCTAAGAGATTAAAAATAAAGAGAAAAACCAACCATCCAATCGGTCTCCCATAGAGGGCAAAATTTCACTCTACAATAAATCCTTTACTCCGTTCTTACTTTATGCTTTTAATCTCTTAGATAAGGAAACTCTCAGAGTTTCCACAAAAGGTCTAGAGTAATCAGGAGGAATGTCAAGGAAGAGTTAGACTTGACATCGTCTTTGTATACAGGGGTGAATATGGAATTTATATGGAGACGATGTGTATAAGGAGAATGAAGAAGGCTTTTCCAAGAAGGAGAGACAGAGATGGTGTAGGATGCACTAAGATATCAAGCATAGTGCAGGGTGTAAATGGCACAGCAGCACGAATGTGCTTGCACAGGGACTGAACAAAAGAGGCAGATTCAGGACTTCAATAGCTGGGTAACAGAAAACCTAGCCAAAATCTTGAGGAAGAGAATAAAGTAATAAGGGGGATTTTTTCGGGCACCCTCCTACACTGTTGGTGGGAATGTAAACTGGTACAGCCCCTCTGGAAAACAGTGTGGAGGTTCCTCAGGAAACTAACAATAGAACTCCCCTATGACCCAGCAATAGCACTGCTAGGAATTTACCCAAGGGATACAGAAATGCTGAGGCATAGGAGCACATGTACCCCAATGTTCATAGCAGCAC